AAAGCGGAACTTAATTGTTCCTTGACTAGATCGGTTGAAACACCTACATTCAAATTCAACTATGTTATAGAAAAAAAGCACAAACATATTCTTTCTTGTACTCGTTTGGTAGCAAAATACGATTTCTTCAATTTTTTTACCTCAAGCAAGGGTACATTTTTCTGTTTGATATATTTTTGAAATAATTTATTTGATGTATATATTTATGTTTGCATTACAGCATGGAAGGTAGTATCGCTCGCCTTCCGGACATTTTGGCCCTAAAACGAAAATACAAGGCCTACGTGTACCTTGACGAAGCACACAGTATCGGCGCCCTGGGGCCACATGGACGTGGCGTGGTCGACTACTTCGGCATTGACCCCTCCGAGGTGGACATCTACATGGGCACTTTCACAAAGAGTTTCGGCTCGTCTGGCGGTTACCTGGCCGGCAGTCGTCGTTTCATTGATTACGTGCGTGCGCATTCCCTCAGCACCAACTACGGAGGCACCATGCCGGCACCGGTCGCTCAACAAGTCATCTCCTCCATGCGCATCATCATGGGTCGGGACAATGTGGGAGAAGGTGCCCGCAGGTGAGAGGTGTCTTCTATGCAAAAAGCCTGAAGTAAAATTTTCAAATATATATATAGTAGCAGATATGCGTATACCGATCTGTCAGAGGACCCACTCGTCCGTCCATGTTGCCATAAGAGCTCTCCCTCGAGCCTCTACCGCGAGGCGGCTAGGATATAGGCGGAAGGACATTATGAGCAATGACATGGGACACTAGGAAGGCTTTTTCTGTCTCATTAGGCGTCATCGGCTAGTGATAACCAACCCCAGTGTGGCCGCTGAAATTGCTGCCACACCGAGTTTTGAACTCGCGATCTCTCTAGTCAGGGCGAACGTCCTAACCGTTGAGCTACGAGCTCACGGTCTTGCCGTTTTTAGATATACATATATGTATATGCTTGTTGTTGTGTGGCTGCTCCTTCGCAGCAGGGATATTTTGGTGACAGTTACGTTCTGGGCGCACTACCGCTTATTTCACTTAAATGTCTACTTATTTCGTACAAGTATGCATGTTTTGTATTCGTCCAGTGCCGTTGGCTACTCAATGTGACCCCCACTGAAATCTCTGTAATTCCTGCCGAATTATGACCATGTCTTGAGTTAAGTTCTTGTTTATTTAAGAGTTTAGTTTAGGTAATTTTTAATTATTTTAGTTTTGGTTTATTTTAACTTCAATTTTTGGCGACGTGCGCACGTTTTTCGGCTTAGGAGCTATTGTGAGTTTAAAAAAAGAGGGAAAGAAGCCTATCTTTCATGTTTTTACTTTACTCTCTAAAATTCTATATCGAGTAGATATAGGATTACATACAATTCGCGGGTACTATTGGGCAGTTCATGTCTCCTATTGGTTGTATTTCTCATTTTAATTATAACACGCCAAACACTTTTTTATTTAAATAATTATTACTATGATTTTCTGCTTTCGTAAGTTCTACTTTTTAGTTATTTATCTTCCCTTGATACACTTCACCCATTTGATCCCTATTATGACTGGCCCCATATTAAACTAGAATGGTGTTTTCGCGTGCTCTAGTAAGCTCGAAACGTTACTGTTATCGCACATTTAAACAAATTGTAGGACTCATCTGCGTGGATCTTCCGTGCATTGAAAAGCACAAGTAAATTGTTAACTACCGGTTGCCACGATTAGTGTTTTACTACAGGTGGTGTGAATCTATGCGGTGCCATTACAGTACGTAGGTATGCAAGGGGACTGATATAATCAGTTTTTGGCCGTCAGAAGCTAGCTGTATCCAAACACTAGTTTGAATTATCCGGTGATTGAACCCACTTTGAAATGGTTGTTAGTCTCCCGCACTAAGCAACTAGATCATTGCCCTGTCATTTATGATCGGAGATTTTAATTATTTAGGAAGTCAAGTTAGGCGAACGAACTTTATCGATTGATTCATCATCAGGAAACATAATAATATAATGGAAGGTAGAGTAAACGGAAGTTTAAGCGACCAATCAGTAGTTCTTAGGGGGGTAAGGGGGAGAAGTGAAAAGAGATCGAAGGGGTCTGATTCTAGTCTTGATTGGGGACCGGAGAGGGGAAGGGGTGGGGGAAGAAGGGATGAGGAAGAGTCCGACAATTAGCTCGTGTCGTCCCGTCGTCCTTGGCTCGCATTTTGTTGGGAGGTGTGAGGACGCAAGGTTTCATCGATTCGTGATGGCGTGGGTGGCACGGAGATGTTTGCTGTCGGGGCCTCGTCACTGTTTCGCGGCGTGGTACGTTCCGTGGGGGCGGATGTTGAGTAAGCCTTCGGTCACGGGGGCCTTAGGGCCACAACAAATGCCTTCTGCGCACATAAAATTGAGTTAGT